TTAATTCGTTGTCATTAAGGAAAAAATGACTAATCAGCAAATCTTTTGATTGAACGTGTTTTACTGTTTTATCATATTTGATCATCGTAATTTCTACTTCTACCTTCCCGGAGTTCATTCTCGGGAATCCATTGAAAATATTCCGTTGGATTCTTTCAATCTACTTTTTTTTATTAATACGAGCTCGTTTTGACATCAATATCAAGACATTTCTTATTTGATATAGCTATTTTGCCGCAAGTATTTTTACGGTTAAGAAGACAATTGGTTCTTGTTACAGATCGTGTATGAATTTACTATAAACTATTATCCTTTTAAATTTTGTGATTTTACTTAATTAAGTCATGGGGAAGTTATGATTTAATGAAAACTGTGATGCGGGTAGCATGCAATGGATGTTCTGAACCTTTTGGCAGGCTGCATATTGCTACAATTTGTCTATTTTTTGGGGATACATGTTTGACTTTGGTTTTTCTACTGGTTGGCGTACAGTTTTATTATAATATATAGCTCAAACTAAACATTTGCGGTATGACATATTCGGGTGTTGATAATTCTTTTTTTTTTTTTCCCCCCCGCAGCTGACCGGAGGCAAGAGAGTGGTGGGCACGGGTGGGTACATCAGTTATACCAGTCAAATAATTGTGGCTACCGTGATAGTTGCAATTACCCCCAGCTGGTGGTTTACCGATTTCAACACGAATTTAAAAAGCGCAGAAGGGGTTGCATTTCTATGATGACCTATGCGAGAACATGTGGCCTTCTCTTGTGGGCAAGGCCACACTAAAGCGATGGCCGTGATGGCAAGTTACAACATGTTATTTGTTATGCAACCGAGAAGGCGTAAAAGGTGGCGGTAGAAGCACCCAAAACCAGTAGAGGGTGGCAGTGGTGGTCCGAGCACTCAACGTAGGAGACGAGTATCTAACAGGGTTAATTGCAACGCTCGAATTTGCATCACAAAAGACAAAGGTGCGGGCTTCATTGTCAGTATTTTTGTTCCCGAACACACCACCGCATGTGCTCCGAGCCTTCGAAACTGTTTATGCGAATCAACAGAAAACTGGACGTGGCCCAGCAAGCGTTCCTTACGAATTGTATTAAAGTTAACGTGGGTGGGTCTAAAGGCTTCCGATTATACAAGGAATCAGTGGGGTCGTTCGCCAACGTTGGTGCAACAGAAACGGAGTTCCATAATTTCAAACGGGACCTCCAGTCATACGTTGCCGATAAGGACGGAGAGATGATCATTGCAATGTTTAACCAAAACATGACGTCTGTGAGAACTTTTTCTTTGATTACTATCTTGATGAAGGAAACCATGTTGCGCGTCTTTTTTGGGCTGACCACACCGGGCGTCAAAATTTTTTGAGTTTCGGTGATGTGATTTCTTTTGATGCAACGTATGGTACGAATAGGTATGTCAACGTTACACCGTTCATTCTGTGCATGCTAATCATACTGAAATGTAGTAGTCACTTAATATTGTTTTTGTGAATTTTTTGTATTGTTCATGTTAAGTGCACGTTGGTGACATGTTAGTGGGAATTGGGCGGCGTCCGAATCACTAAATTTGTTGCCACCATGCTAACGTGTGAACTCGTTGTATTGCAGGTACAGTTTGGTGTTCATACCTTTTACCGGAGTAGACCATCACAAACGGTGCATTACGTTTGCTGGTGGGTTGGTAACTCGAGAAGACACTGACTCATACGTGTGGGTCCTGGAGAGATTTAAAACAGCAATGGGAAAGAGCCCCTTGTGCGTCGTAACTGATGAAGATCCGGCTATGAAGAGTGCTATTGCACGAGTACTGCCAGAGTGCCGTCATCGTTACTGCATGTGGCATATCATGACCAAAGTGAGTGAGAAGTCAGGGGCTGAACTATCAAAAGATCAGAATTTCCGTAACCAGCTTAACAACATTGTGTGGAATGAGACCATTAGCATTGATGATTTTGAAACGCAATGGCAGTCATTAATGGAGAAGTACAACTTAACGGGCACCGATGGTTTACTAAATTATACACAGACCGGAGGTTTTGGATTCCTTCATATTTTTTAGATTTACCCATGAGCGGTGTTCTACGTACCACCTCGCGTTCAGAAGCGGAGAACAGTGCGTACCGGTAAAAACACACGCCCACATTGTAGTCTGGTCGAGTTCTACGTGCAATTTGAGAGCGTCCTAGAAACTCAACGGCACAGACAAAGTAAATTAAATGCTGAGAGTGAAGGGTCCTTGCCTGATTTCAAAACTCCTTTAGCATTGGAGCGACACATGGCGCAGGTATTTACCTTAACAGTGTTTTATGAGCTCCAGGTAGAGATCGAAGCTGCATGTTTTTATTGCAGTGTTGTGGGGATCCATGCATATGGTGAGTGCATCCGTTACGACATTAGAGGGGAGTACAACGTTGTCCATACTGTTGAATATACCCCGTCTTTGACTATTGCGACATGTAGCTGCAAGTTGTTTGAAAGATTGGGGTTTGTTTGCCGGCATATGTTTCTTGTGTTCAAAGATGCCGAAATGGTGAGCTTGCCATCGCGGTACATCGCAGCACGATGGTGTAAGCAAGAAGGACTAGCTAGCTGGTGTGCTCGATGTTCTGACTGCCCTCCTTTAGAAACTGTGCCTAGTCAGTTGTGGACTGAGATACACAATTGTGCCGTGATAGTTGGAAGCAATAAAGTGCGCCAAACGCGAATGCTACAGGTAATAAAAGAATTAAGAGACGAGTTTCTGGGCGATGGTATGGACGTTGACCCCCCAAAAGGAAACGGTGTTGCCATTGCAGCTTTGTGCGGTGTGGAGCCGCCGACGTCCATAATTATCAAACCGCCAGCTCAAGCAAAAAACAAAGGGACCGGCAAGCGAATTAAAAGCCAACGCGAGTTAGCTATTGAGAGGAGTGGCAAGGCTAGCAGAAAGTGCGGGGTGTGCGGCGAGTATGCACATCATAATGCCCGCAGCTGTCCGTTGAAGTGATTAGTGCGCCCAAACAGACATTACTGGTTATGATTAGATACATTGGGATTTTGGCTAATTTTATTAATTCTAGGTTTCTATCCTTTGTATTTGGTTATTAATAATGACTTTGGAGTGTTTGTCCATTTTATTAATTCTTTTTTTGAATGCTACTAGCTCTATTACATTGTAGTATCTGTTCATATACTTTCTCAACCTACTGAAACACAAAGAGCTAATAACGCCTCCACTGAGGCTCGAACTCACAATCTTCCAAATGGAAGTCCAACCCGGGTACCATTGGACCACATAGTCCTGGTCCATTTTATTAATTCATTCCTCTGGCGATTTTAGCTAATTTTATTAACTCTACGTTTATATCCTTTGTATCCGATTATTAATAATGACTTTGGAGTGCAGATGCATGTGTATCTGGTTATTAATAATGACTTTGGAGTGTTTGGAGTGTGTGTGGGGTCTGCTTTCTGTGGTACCTGAATGGTGATTGGTTAACCTTCTAAAAACTATTAATTTTTTTTTTTTTTGTGGGTGTGGGTGTTTGGCTGCCCGCATTATGACTGGTAAGTGGGGTTCTTGGATCTAAATACTCATGTTATCATTCTGTTTGCTGTTAATTTGTCCTAGGGATTCAAGGTGTTCAAATGTGGGGAAAATATATGTTGTCCTAGGGATTCTCTTGTGGTGTAAGCTTGTAATACCGATAAAAAGTTTCCAAATGCTTGTGTACCTTTGTTATAGAGTAAATATTTTAAAGCAAATTCAAGCATATACCCCTACCCAAACAAAAACAAAAGATTAAAGCATTTATGCATGCATATATTGTTGCAGTGGTAAATTTAATGTGTATTATTTGAAGCATGCAATGCATGCATTATATAAATGCCGAAAGGGGTATTGGGGTGGAGATGGGATAATGGGATTGGAGTAAAAGTGCATTGTATTGCATGCATGTAATTTAAATACCATCATCATTAGCAAATTAGAATGGTTCTGTCTTTTGTTTCTTTTATTTCGTGTTAAATTAACTATCTAAGCTACCTACCTTTCCCTCTCATAATGCATTTATTTCAACCTCATACCCCTGGTGCTTTTCATGGTCTATGGTGATAGTAAGTTAAATTAAGTGGTGAATTTATTTCATGTGTCGCATGAAATTAGTGGTGTATTTATTTCACTGAAGTTGTACTTTACCAAATTAGTAGTGTAAAATTAAATACAATTACGAACCCTTTCATGCATTTGTGCCGGCATTTTCTAGAGATAACATTGAAGAAATTTTTATTCCAGCCTGGAAAAGTATATATACCCCATATGAAGACTAGTGCTGCGCACCAAACTAAACAAAATTAAACAGCCAATACTTTGCTCAGGCTGTGCACTAACCTAAATAGATCTAAGCAGCCACTACCTCATACCCGAGTTTTTCATTGTGGTGCTCCTCCCATTAGTTGTTCGGCCCTATGGCGGTCATACTCCACTGCCCGTGTGCGGATATCATCGATGTTGGCATTGACTGTACATAGTAAGATGTTATGCAGAAACCTCGTCCGCATATTTTCAATCACTGCGGCATCCCCCGTCCCCAACCCACAATGCCAATATCTGGGATCTTGACCAACAAAATCTTCCATATGTCTCATTGTGTATACTCCCGAGTCACCGTTGGTAGGGTTGTCTGACCACGCCAACCTCATCCTCTCGGGCTGCATGTTCCTCAACCGCAGCGCCCGCACAGTGTGCTGGTTGTTATCTAGGTATGCGGCGAGTAGGTCCCTCTGGAAACAAAAGATTAGTTCAGCAGGTGTGCGAGTATACTTAACCAATAGTATTAAGTGTTGAGGGTGCATGATGTTTACCAACTCATTTGGAGCTGCGCCGTACATCTCTGTCCCCACGCTAGTCGTCGGTGAGCTGTCTATGATGAGAAACCCATTATGCTTAAAACTTACGCACATCACGTAGAATCGTGCCTCATGGAATACGGGGAAGAAATACTGCAAAACCCAAATAATAGTGGTTAGCCTACGATGTCCGCTATGCGTAGCCGATTGGATCGCCTATTCGGAACACGACTGGCGTCTTACCATGTCCAATGTGGTTGTCCCCACATGGTGAGTTGTTTGGAATTCAGCATCAAGACGCCGTTGAAACCACATTACCCTTTGATCCCGCCTGGCTGCAACGTTCACCACCGTCCCAATCTGCACCAATACTAGTTAGTAGATATATATAAACCCCAAGATGCTAATTGTGTTTGTTTGTGCACAGTGCGGTGCTGAATGGGTGCACTACGAAGAATATATACTCTTGTTAATTGTATATAGTGTAACATTATGTGTTGACTGTTTTGCGAAGAATGTAAATTAAATTGCATGATCCACACTACCGTCGCCGACGCTGACACAAACAATCGAGAAGGCATGTCCCGACCCCCCGGTTGCTCCCTTGCATTGAGCACCGAGCACCATGCATCTACCACTGGTTTCCCAACATCCGTCCTTGCCTTTAATGTTAAAAATTGATACCATCTGACTGTGCGCGTGGCATGGCGGAATAGAACTTCATTCCTGTATTTTTACTTTTTTTTAAAGACAAAATGACGGAGCCAACGCAGGCTTGTATATATTCGCACGTGACATCCATGCAACTTACCGATGACCGTGTGGGGAGTTGAACAGCCACATCCAAACGACATACACTGGTGGTAACGGTATGTTAGGGTACCCATTGCTGGTGCTGAAAAACATGCCAAAATGCTGGTCTGCCGCCCCAACGGTGGTCCTTGGCTGACGATCCGGGCCTGCTCTCACCCCTGGGGATACGGGCTGTGCTGTTGACCCCCCTCCCGGTTGCGCTTGCATGGATACCTGCACCTAGAAGTTAGAAAATACCATGCAAATCGCGCGTAATTCACATGGCTGTACCTATTAATACCCCTCACCTGCTGAGTTGGCGTGTGTACAGTTGACGGCCCTAGCGTGTTGCCGTCTGCCCACGTGGTTACGAACTCCTGAGTCAACCCTAGACTAAATGTTGGTGCCTCAAAGTCCCCTGTGTCCTGCGTTGCAACCTGTTGTGCCTGCCTTGGTATTATCGCTCGTCTTGCTTCCTCCTCCACCCGGTCTAGCTCCCTTATGAATTGCGAGTCTTGCCAAAGGTTGTCGTCTAGATGGCCAGTCGTCACAGTTTGTGGTTGAGGTGGCTGTGGGCCGGTTTGTGGTTGGGGTGGCTGTGGGCCGGTTCGTGGTTGAGGTGGCTGTGGGCCGGTTTGTGGTGTCCCTTTACGTGCCCAGCTTAATAACAGATTACCCACGTTGGCAATCCTCGGGAAATTTCGGTCCTCGAAAGCTAGTGTTTGATTTTTCCTTATTGTTTCTGCAACCCGTGTGGCTATCGCTAGCAGGTCCCTAGTCATGGCTGCGAATTCTTGGTGGAACCCCTACAGGCAAGCGATTGGTTAGAAAAGAAACAATATAGCAACGTCAACCGGTGCAATAGTAAGGAAACAATATGCATACCCCGGTAGAACTTGTAGTGGTGGCGTTGTGCACTGTTTGTGTAGCCCCGTCTCCTACTCGTGCAGTAGGGTTCCTAGCACGTGCCGCCGCCGCATGTACCAGTGCATCAACCTGCAGTTAAATCAATTTTGTTACGGACACTCGTGCACATTGTATAACCTAGTGCACCAGTTTATTTTGGCATACTGTAATGGGTCTAGGAACGCGTGGGCGTTGTTCAACCCGAGTAGCTTATGGTACTTGCCGTGCATCCCCCTATAAATGATTCAAAGGAAAAAAAAATGAACCACACAACTCCTGTACACATAAAATTAAATAAAACTAAAATTTAAACAACCTCCTGTATAATAAGCACAGGGATACGGTAAAATAATCTGCCCGGGCACTCAAATCTGACCGGGCACATAACAGATGTGCATACTTAATAAGAAATTAGGGCTATTACAGTATGAACCAGTATTACAATGCACAAACAGGCTATTCTGCGTGGTTTGTGCACACATTTTCTATGAGCTGCCATACCGTAACCGGTCGTGGCCCTTGGCCAATCCGAGTGTCCTGCGGTTCTCTCCGTGCACTATTATTAGGCGGTGCATCCTCCTGCATGTCCTGAATTAGACATACATATATAATAGTTCCATGCGCAGAAACTGTATATAAACTACTTAGCCACCACCTACATATCTAACTAGATATACACACCACAATCAAATTAAATAAACCTATAATTTAGGCAGTACGAAACAGTATTACAATGCACAAATACACTACTTTACCGTAATAGCACTAGGCCCGGCCCCGTGGTGAACTGGCCGTGGCGTGTGGCCAACCCGAGCGACCTGCGGTTCTCCTCGTGGACTATTATTAGGCGGTGCATCCCCCTGTAGGTCCTGAGTCAGACATACATATATAATAATGCCATGAACAGAAACTGTAGATACCTGTTTAAACACAACCTAAATATATAACTAGCTAGAAAAACTTAATAATAGATAAATCACAGCACAACACCGCTAATAATCTTTTTTTTTTTTAAATACACTGGAATAACACAAAAAATGCACTAGTTAAAGTTGCTACCTCACTACCTAGCATCTCGATTACCTTCAGTTATTTTTTTTTTTTTTGGCAATTAGAGTATCTTGATTATTTTGAGTAACTAGTATTCTGTTTTTTACACTATTCCCATGACCTCCACCACCCGCAAGCAATAAAAATAAATAATAGACACTGAAATAAACAAACTGCACTAGTTAAGTTGCCATACCATATCGGCACTATGCTCGGGTGTGTGGTGATCCAGCCGTGCCCGTTGGCTACCAAGAGTGTCTTGCGGTTCTCCCCGTGGGCTATTAGGAGGCCGTGCATCCCCCTGCACACCCGCACAAGATCTGTATTATTAGATACACATATATAGAAATGGCATGTGGTAACAGCCCTGAATTATTATATATACATATATAGTAATGACATGCGGTACCA